ATCTTACCTATCACTTGTATCGCGTTCTTCGCCTTCTCTGCTAGCATTTTGTGCCGTTGATAGAGGTGGAGTGATCATACGCTCTTCGTCCACTTCCGCTTCGGGCAATGATGATGCCACCGTAGCAGCGGAAGAATGGGGAGGCGCTTCATCCATCGACACGTCTGCTTCAGCATCCCGAGGTTCGAAAGCTTCTGAAACCCTTTTTTCACTATGGGTAATCATGAAGCAATCACTCAGACAGAGGTTATTGTACCTGATGTATCCATAGCTTCTCCATCAGCCGTAGCCAATCCTGACGTGCCACTATCTGCTGCGCTATCGCCTGCAGTTAGAAGGGCGGTTGTTACTTCAGGTTCACGATTCTGGGCAGATTCATCCCATGCCTGTCGCGCTACTTCTGTGGGTGGATGAGCTAGCACAGTCGCTGTAGCGTTGGTATTTCCTGTATCTTCACTGGTAGAGGGCGCATTCTCTGATGATGCAGGTTTGCTGCTTTCCTCTGCCGCTTTCTTCGCAGCTTCCTCTGCGGCTTCTTTAGCTTTCTCCTGTTATAAAAGTACACAGTAGTTTTAAAATTTACAAATGCATCAAACAGCAGTACCTCTTCAACGCGCTTTCTCGCTACTCTGGTGACGATTGTGTTGATGATGATTGCGACATACTGAAGGGAGACGCCATCCATCATATCAGCTCCGTCAGTGAATCTATCAAGTGCTGAAGGGGCCGAAGCTGGTTGACGCATTCGTCGCTCCTCCGGACTATCAAGCACGTTCGAACTCTGAAAAATTCTATTTGGTAAGGAAAATTAGGGAGAAAAGTACTCATACCATGTTAACAATGCGACCGTTCACATTCATTATTGGGCCACTTCGTTCACGAGCGTGGAAGTCGAACAACCTATCGAACAATTGGCTTGTTGGCCCAACATAGCCACGATCGGTTCCTCCAATACGTCGAATAGCATTTTGTCTCGTGAGAGCTACAGGTACTCTTGCTCCACCTCCGTCCACCAG